AACAGTGATGCGCCCGTTAATTTGAAAAAGATATGTGGTTATTTAAAAAAAATAATTTTAGGTAAACACCTATTGCGAATAAGTCTATACAGAGTATAAAACTGCTACAATATACATACTTCAGATTTATTCGAAACCCACAATATTTATTTTGATAGTTTCCGAACTTTTATCAGGAAAGCATATTGCAAGAAAAATTGACTATTGTATATATTTATAGAAAACAGAATTATTTGTAAATGTGACTAAAACAAAATAGGAGCGGGAAATATTCGCGAATACCTATTCTGTGAACATAATTTCAATCTAAAAAATCACCGTTAATAAAGGACATGCATATTATGATATTAGCCTAACACTTTCAATTTATATTTCACGCCATTTAGAAATTTTCCATAACTCGAATGTGTAAATAGACTCTCTCTAAAACTTCACCGTCTTCAGTTCGTCTTCAAAACTAAAGTCTCTCCACTTTATCAAAGTCAAACAAATGTTGTGTTTTTATAACATATTGGGCTACATTCGACGACTTAGTATTTTCCGTACATAGAGAAAATATTCATTCTAACTGTTCTTTTTGTACTTGTTGCTCCATAATATTTCATGGATAAAATAATAAATGAGCTCGGAAAAAAGAGATATTTGAGCTCAGTATGTTTAATTGCCTTTGAAAGACAATTAAACATACTGAGCTCAAATATCTCTTTTTTCCGAGCTCATTTAATTTCGCGTCCTTAGCCTTTAGAAGAAATAGGATATATTAACTTATTATGTCTTTTATTTTCATCGAATCCTTTTTGTAAAGGTAAAAAGATGCTTTTGTAATATAACATGTTTCTTGCCTGCAATATTCACTTGTTGAATAGGGAAAAATTTTTTGAATAATTTTGAAAATCCTTTCGACAAGTATGTCAGATTCATATTCATAGTACGACAAAGTAAAGAATATCGACTTTTTGCCGAACGTTGTGAAAATTTGTTGTTTGTTATTATTGTTGTCTCTGATTAATTTTATTCATCATCACTTCCTCTTCTCTAATACTTCTCCTTATCAAATGTTCAGAATATCCATTTAATTTTAACGTTTCTGTTAACTGCATCATTTCAATTTTCAAATATTCAGATGTAGAACAAATGAGAAGGATTCTAATTACCAAAGATCGAATTAGTCTAATTTTATATTTACAACATTGACTACTCTCACATAGTAAATAAAGATTTGTGTTCGCCGATTTACGATACATAGTTGTTTGATATTTATTATTTGTTTTATCTCTAATTATCAGTACATCTAGAAAGGCTAATTTATCATTAGTGTCTATTTCAAATGCGAATATGATGTTTGAATGCCATTTGTTGATTCGTTGAAGAAATTTATTGATGTTTTGAGTACTTTTGAAAATACAGAAGACATTGTCAACATAACGAATCCATACTATTGGTTTATTAGTTGAATATTTATTTAATTTTGATTCTCATTTTGACATAAAAATATCAGCAAGTATTGATCCAGGTAGTGAACCCATGGCTACACCATCACATTGTACATAATTAACGTCCATAAATCGAAATGGTACGTTACACCCTACTAGGTTAAGTAATTGTTTCATTTATTCACGATTAAATATAGTATTAGGTGACTGAGACAATTTAAAGAGTATATCTAGTGCTATTTCATTTAATTCTTTCTTCCCTAGTCCAATTACCCGTTTTACAAATTGAAACGTATTCTTTACACATGAAAACGACTGAGAAGAACAATTTTTCTTTAAAATGTCCACTAAGTATTTTGAAAGTTCATGTTCATAAGAACCAGTTGAAGCGATAATAGGACGAAGAGGATGACCAGGTTTTGTTAACTTTTGATTGTCCGCACATAATAGGAAGAATCACCGTAGACACGACTCGTTTGAATAATATTATTCGTTCAGTTTCTTATTATTCTTTTCTTTTTGTACATCATTCGATCCTCGTAAAGTACAGCATATTGATTTTTTCTGTCATTTTTCAAAATGGAAACATAAGTTTTTCCATCCAACTCGATTCTATTCTGAATTGGATAGGAATGAATGTTACACAGAAAACAAAAAGGTACAAACAATTTTTTATTTAACAGCAGGAAAATTAATTGTACGATTCTTTGTCCAAGGAGAAGCTAACACAAAATTAGTTCAACATTTGAAATCTATTAAATTAGTAGAAAAACAATCCATATATTCTATAATTGCAAGCGGATCCAATTTCCGCCACAATTGGAGCGAACAACGGTATAGTAGTGATACATCATAGCGGTCAAATACAATGGTACAATCAACTGACAGTTCACAGATAAGTCTATATTAGTAGAATTTTTAATTATTCAAATTTAGAGAAAGTAGTCGGTTATGGAATTGTTATTGGATAAATGATTTGCTTCCATAGATTATAGCACCTGTAGAGAAGTTCTTAAAACAGCTCGATGTATCAACGAACTTGATAAACATAATCAAAACGTTCAATGGATATATATCTTTTTGTTTTAGGTGTACTACGAAATAACTTATCAAATAATTTATTTCTAAAATTTTAAAAAAATTTATATTAATTAAAAAAATGTCTTTATTAAATTTAACGTTATTTTGTTCTAATTCCAGTATTGAAATTGAATGAAGTTGAATCCACGATGTTTATGTAATATAGAAAAGTAAATCAACATTTGTGCATGTATTTCAAAACAGATTGAATAATTCAAATTTAAAAAATATATAATAATTATTCGTAAAAAACAATGTACAGAATATACAGAATATCTTTGAGTAATTATTAATAATCAGTGATATATTTTTCATTTACAATAAAAGTGTTTCTTTTTTCGATATTTTTTTGTTAGATTGTTTTCAATGGTCTGTGATTAAAAGTGTTAACAGTATGATCCACTGTAAAACAATGAGCATGAAGTGAAAAATGTATTTCAGTAAATTTTCAGTAGAATGCCGAGTAGATACGTATATGTAGGAAAAAAGAGAGAGTTTACAATAGACTAAGGAAACGATATATGTTTAAATATCAGATATTTATGTTTTCTGTTTATTTTTTTCATACAAGAGAAAGTTGAGTCGGACATGAAAAAAACAAAATAGCAAAAAAATTAGCCATTATTAATTAAACTATAAAAAAAAAAAATTCAATATCTGAATACACTTGGTTTGTTATTTTTTAGTCAACTATTAATCTTCTTGTAAATCTTCTGGTCTTACTGGATATGGAATGGGAACAATTGATTTTTTATCAATATCTCTTGACAATGCTTTCCTCATATCTATGATAGAGAAAAATAGATTAAAGAAAACTTTTTTTTAAAGGCAGATCAATTTGTTATAACAAATGCAACTTCATCCCTTTCTCCCAAATAATAACCAATTATTCTTCTATAAACAAAATAGCCTAATTTTTGATACATATCAACGGCACGTTGATTCGATACACGAACAAATAAGTCAACAAAATATGTTTTTTTCCTAAATAAAAAAAATGTTATTCACATAAAGCAATAGAATTCAATGAGACAACAAAAAATCTTTCAGAAACATTTTCTAAAAGTGACATCAATTTACTCGATATGCCAATACGACGAAATTCTGGTGCAACAGATAATGCTGTTACATGTCCATGATAATTTTCTTGTTTTCCTTTAAAATTCATGAATTAAAGGAGTTAGAAATGTGAAATGTTTAATTATAAAAATGAAGGTTTTGCTACCTTCAATTTTTCTCATAACTAAAACAAAAAAAAACGAATTAAACAATGATAATTCATAACGCATTATCCAATCTAAAAAGATATACGCACACTTTAGATACTATTTTGTGCAACGAAAGAGACGATATCTAAATCTAAACATTTTGTATTAGGAATATACTATACTAATGAAAGACCGGGAAAAATAAAGCCGATGACATAGATAACATCCTATCTTTAGCACCAATTACTTATGCTTTCTAGAAGAAAAAAATTGAAAAAAGCCTACTCTTCAACACTTCAAGAATTTTCTAAATAACAATACTTTTATATCTGAATTTTTCATGAGAATCCTGATCGATCTGTTTGTATGAAGATCAAAAACTCATCATAATCAAATGATTTTTAAATAAAAGCCCAAAAACATGATATACTTTATATCCATACTATTATTAAATTTTTTTTCTTTCAAATTCAAAAATTAGTTGACAATCATTTTAATCAAATAGAAAGGATACATTTTCAGTAAAAATATCCAAATTTCTAAAAATTAAATAACTTCTTGATTGAATTTATTGAAACATTTTTTACAGTTATTTCTCAGACGTTATTTATTCTCAGTAAATCGATCAATTTGAATTGACGTATTGATGTCATTTCATCAACTAGTTCTATCAATATAATCTAGAGATTTTAAAACGAAGTGCATACGTTCAAAATAGAGAAATTGTATAGAGAATAAGACTATGAGAATGTCAATGACGAAATAATACTGTTGAGATTGTAAGAAACATTTTATCTTTTTTAAAAAATAAGACAAATAGTAGAATACACCAACACAAGAACAAAAAAACAAGTGGTATGCTGACAGAAAGCGTCATACAAATAAAAATAAAAACATACGAGAACAAAAAATAAATAGTAACAACCATAAAACAGCAGAGGATTAATGCAGTGTTAAGAGATGATTCATCACCCAATAATACTCAAAATGATGCCACGTACAGGTTCCAGTATGATCAAAATCGGAAAATTTATAAGGACTGTAAAGTTAATCAAATATCTCGTCATCATAAATCAACAATTTTTATCGTATTCACTATATCAGTTGAAACAGTTTAGATAAAAAATTAATTAGATTAAGTTAATCCAACAGAAATGTATGTAAGGAAGTTCAAAGATAGCATTTGTATATTTTTTTAGAAAAGAGATATTTGCCTAAAAAAGTCACAAAATAACATTTAATTTCACTGTGCTTTACTACAAATCGGACGTTACTTCAACTATAATTTTGATTGAAAATGAGTCACTTTATCATCTGGTATGAGATTTTTATTTCCAAATATATTTTTTGGATCAAGATATTGTTTGATACTTGACATTGTTCCTACACCCAAATCACTGACAGCATGTCGAATCCATTTTGTTCGTATTTTTCCAATACCATGATGATGTGACAGACTACCACCATTAGCCAAAACTTCTTCTCTTGCTGCATCTTCAATTTTTTCATAAACATCTACAGGATCTGTATTATCACTCAAATTATTATAATTCATAGCAAAATAAAAATAAACACAACAACCGGCATCATACGTTTGCGTGACACGACAAGATGAAAATGGCGGATATTTGACATCATACTTTAGACATTCATCAACAATACGTTTTTTGACATTACGACATAGATCAATAACACGATCCCATGGCACCGATGTTTCAAATGATTCAGCTACCAGCTTATAATCTAATCCGATATCACGTAAATAAGCAATCATAAATGTTAACGTGTACCCTTTCAGTCCATTTTCTTCACCTACATAAATAAAAAAAAGCAGATTGATGATAGAGTAAATAAATTCTTTAAAGTTCAACCTTACCCGCTGGTAATCCATTGTATTTTTGTGCAATATCATAAACAAACTTTTCTCTTTGATTAACATCATTTTTTAACCCTTCAAACAATAATGTTGCTGCGCACATTCGATTTACATCAAAACCTTTTATTTTTGTTATGTATAATTTTTTTATATTATCCATTAGTGAATGAATAAGGCCTTTTGAATCGGTAGCTAACGCTTGTCCAAATAAAAATTGTTCATTATCCAATAAACGTATTGATGCTGGAGCTGAACGGAAGGAAAAAAAACCACTTATGAAAACAAAAGGTAAGCAATATTTATTTTTCAGTATTACCAGAACGTAAACGTGCAATTTCTCTCAGACATCCAACACCAGATTCAAAATCAGGAAATACAATTGAGCCATACTTTTTACACGGTGGTAATGGACGAATTTTTAGCGTAGCTTCAGTTATTATCCCTAAAATGCCTTCTGAACCAAGAATGAAATGATGAATATCCAGACCAGTGGATTGTCGAGGACCAAGACAACTTTTTTCCATGGTCCCTTTGGGAGTTACCATCGTCACATGAACCAACAAATCTTCAATATTACCATACACATTTTTCTTCATTCCCGATGCTCTTGTAGCTATCCATCCACCAAGAGAACTAAATTCCATTGAATCGGGTTCATGACCAGTGCAGTATCCTAGAAATAAATGTAGAAATATTACATACAACAATACTTTAAAATCTGGTTTGTTATACCTCTTTTTGCTAATTCTCGTTCAAGATCTTGCCCGATGATTCCTGTTTGTATTCTAGCTGTCAAATTTTTTTCATCAATATAAATAATTTTGTTCATTTGAGATGTATCAACAGACACAATCATACGTTGTTCATTCGTTGGACATATTAATGCCCATGTTACTGATGTACCACCACCAAACGGTATTAAACAAATATCATGTTTACAAGCTAATGCAACCATTTTTTCAATATCTTGATGTGTACGTGGCCACACAACTAAATCAGGAATACGATCAAATTGTCCACCATGTCTTAATTTCCATATTTCTTCTAATGTATGACCATGTGAATGGAATAGACGATCATTTATATCTGATGAATGTTCAATTGTACTCAATTGTGTTAAATATTCTTGCATAAAACTTTCATTTATAATTGGTTTAGGTCTAAACGATGGATCAGGTTCTGTCACACTCGGTGAATAAACATCTATTGTTGCTCCCAATTTATTTATCATCCATTCTTTCAAGCGTGGTAATACATGACCACTGAGTAAATACCGTGAACCAGAAAATTCAATTAAACCATTTGAATTGAGTGCAAATTTTGAGTCTTTATATCCCCATCCTAATAAAAAGAACAACAACAAGAGATGTAAACAAGGCATATGAATTAAATAAACAACTCACCATTCCATTTTAATAGTTCCTATAATAAAAAAATAAAACTTAACTGAAACAATAAATTTGACATTTGAAAGAGAGATGCTTGCCTGTCTATGTAATGGTATATGAGTTGTATGAGCCGTTGCTCCTGACGCTGTTATAGCCGACAATTCAGCACTATTTGACATCTAAAATAAATACTCTTGTACGCATCTTATCAAGTAAAACAGTACGTTTATTCCTTAAAAAATAAAGTTAAATTAGCAAAAAAGAATGCATAATGTGCACTGAAACAATAGCTTATCGTAAATGTATTTTAAATGTCTACTACTAACGAGAAATAAGCATTAGGTAAAAAATAAAAATCTGTTGCGAAAGACAGAAAACAGGATATTTTTATCAAAAATTTTATTTCGCCATTTGTATAGAAATTTTTAATTCATTCAAATGTTTTCTTCCTAAAGCAATTTGTGTACGTATTGTCGGCAAATCATCTAATTTTTTATTTCGATGAAATTCTGTTCTTGCCCATTGTTTCATTTCAGTTCGATAATCTGGATCATCAATTTGTGCCATAGTACGAAAAATATCACGATACAATGACAATGCTTGTGAACGAACAAGAAAATGTTTCAATGATAATACTTTTCGGTTTGACATTATTCGAAATATTATTTCAAAAAATAATTTGAATAAATTCTAAGATATAATTGAGCAATTATTTATCATGCGGAAACCATAACTCATTTTTCTTTCTGAAAATTAAAGATAAATGTAAAAATATCAGTTTTTATTGACGAACGAACTCTTTGCTTAAAAGAGTAGTGATCTTTTTGATAGTCTATGATTGTGGAAAATAAGGACAGAAAATCCGTGCTTAGAAAAAAATTAGTGTTGAACCAGTATGTCTGATTGAATAATTTAAAATGACAACATTTAAAATCAATCACCACGACAACATATCATACAAATCTTGTCAACAAAAAATAAGTTCTTAATAAGTTCTCTAATAGGTCTTTTTTTTTTGTGAATGTTTTTACTTATTGTGTATGTAGAATAAGTGGGATTATCGATCGCATCACTAATAAAATTATTATGAATTTTATGTCAAAATATAGAAAAAAAAAATTGTATTTAATATTTGCACATTAACGGACAAATGGACGATATGTTCATTAGTCAAATATGGCAAAAACAAACAGAATTTCAAATGCCAACACCATTAAATCAAATGCAACAAGCAGATTATCAAAAATGTATTAATAAATTTTCTGCTCTATTTAATCTTCCATTACGTGTTCGATGTATATCGGTGGAAACTTTGTGGAATGGAAACATTGAACAAGCAACAATCAGTTCTCAAAATCGGAATCCATTGAAAATGTATTGGCAGCGAAATATAACAGAACTTCGTCTAGTTCTTAATAGAAAAATGTTGACAACTGAATTATTACCAGTAGCAATGAGAGATGATTTAAATAAATTATTAAATGTAACGATGATAGAAATTCATCGCCATCGTCGAATTCAATTAACACGATTCGTTAAACAAGATGTACTTACTCCATGTCTCACATTTCATTTTAACATAATTGATGACCAAAATGTACTGGTTATTACCATAAATGGAAAACAAAGTACGTTAGAATTTAACATACCACCTGTAAGTACAATATCAGGTGAGAATAGTAGAGGAAGAGGAATTATGACAACAAAAACTGTCAAACCCTCACAGTCATTAGCATTTACCAAAACGGTACACCAAAGGCAATATTCACCCTACAGGAGAGCAGTTGAAAGCACTCAACCAACAACTTTATTGCAGAACACATCAGTTATACCTTGGAGATTACCAGAAAGACGATCGGTGCTATCGAGCACAATCAATATTGACGTACAAAGTCAAGTGAATGACAACAATGAAGACATAGAACACATGTCAACGAATGCAATTTTTGATACTTTGAAATCAATAACACAAACAGTAATTACCAGTACAATAAATCCACTATCAGCTCAACATAGCAATCGTTTCAGTTCAGATAATCATATTGGTACAACAAATAATGACGAACTCGTATTACTGCCAACTCACGATGAGCAACAAAGAGTGCATCAGTACTCCTTAAACACTTTGTCTTCAAGATCAACGTTAACAACAATGAAAGATGATGAAAACAAACGTACGTTTCATGGTACATATAAAAAAATGGGCGAAGATGCTCAATTAAGACCAATAACATGCTTATTCAATATCATATTAGATGTCGATGTCCAATTAGCATTAACCTTAGCTGAATTTGGATTGTCGGCACAACCAACCACTGAACTTGAAGAAAATGTATTATGAAGAGACGTAATTGTTCAATACAATAACAGCTCAAGACGGAGGAAATGAATTTTACAGTCACGGATGTTAATAACAAAAGGAGTAAGAAGTACCTTTAAAATATAAAAAATCGATAAATTATACTGATAAATACGACACTGAACTCTTCTCGATACAGCAAAGAATAGGATGATGTTCTGTATTCTTCATGATATGTACATACCAAGAAGTAAAGAAATGGTAAAAATAAACAGCAAACTCACGCGATACAGTTTTAATAAAAAAGAAAAATAGAAAACAAAAGATACATTGAAACAAAAATGACGCCAAAAAATACAGTGAGCTGACAAAATGTGTTTAACTTTTTCGTTTTGTTTGATCCGTTGTTTTTCTTTTTGGAGCAGCACTAACAGCTCCACCGCTTCCCGAAGTACTACTACCTCCACCGCTGCCACCTTGTATTTGGGGGGGTTTTGATTTTTTTGGACCACCTAGAAAATTGGCAAACACATCGCTAATATCAGGTATAGGATTATTAAAATTCGGTTGTAACATGTTTGAAGCTTGTTGAAAATCTCGTTGTATTTCCGGATCGGTCGATGCCAATTTTGGCAATACGAGTAAAAGTAATAGAGGGACGAGTAATGTTAGAAACATTGGATTCATAATAACATCTGTTAGACGATAAACTTCGCGTTTTTGAAAATAATTTGGAATTCCATGTGTTTCAAAATTTAATGGATATTTCATTGTAACGACTTCACCTGGTTGGATATGATTGACTTTTCTCGCACGAATTTTTCCTTTAACATTGATATCGACGCGTACAGGTTCAAATACATGTAACGGCGAAACTACCGAAACCACATAAGATCCACTTGGAATACCTAGAAAATACAAATAAGAGTGAAAAGTTCCTTGAATATATAAAATAAATAATAAATAACATACCGCAAACGACGAATGTCCCATCCACTTGCGGTATTCCAATATATTGTCCATCATCAATTAATACACGAGTAGTTTCAAGAGAATTATCACCTGGCGGAATAAGAATCTTTCCTTCAATTTTGTATGAGCCATTGCCTTCTGATGTAATTGCCGGTGAATCATGTGAAGATTGTGAATGGACAATAACAGTGAATACAGTCAACCAGATAAATAAAATATTATACATTTTTAACAGCCTAAAAATGGTTTCGGTCACTGAAATATATGATTTTAGGTATGGCATTTATTGTTGGCTTCACTTACTGCTTTTTGTACGCAATCTTTTAATGTAAGAAACTCTTGTAGACAAGAATCACGTTTTAAATCTTTTGAATTAATTACACACTGAGCATAAACGCTTGCCTAAAAAAAGTAGAATTCTCAACTATAACTGAAACAGAAACAAATAAAATACTCGCCTGTTTAGAACAACTAGTAACGTCTTTCGCTAGCCTGGTTAATCGTTTCCGAGCATTGCTATACGGCATTTGTATTCATAACGCATTATCCAATCTAAAAAGATATACGCACACTTTAGATACTATTTTGTGCAACGAAAGAGACGATATCTAAATCTAAACATTTTGTATTAGGAATATACTATACTAATGAAAGACCGAGAAAAATAAAGCCGATGACATAGATAATAGCCTATCTTTAGCACTAATTACTCATGCTTTCTAGTAGAAAAATCAAGTTCTAAAATCGAAAGAGTACTCCTTGCACGATGATCTTACCAAAAAACAAAAGAAGATTCATTATTTTATAAAATTTAATATTTTTAATTATTTTTAGAATTTAATATTTTAGTCTTTTAATTTTATTTTTGTTTTTTGTACATATTACATATGTTAAAAAGATAGTTAAGTAGCTGCGATTATGCATTTTTTCCACAAGCAGGCAAACAAAAACGCAAAGCTTTCTCATTTAGTATGAATGTAAATCAAGCAGATTCTTCCATCATCCCTAGCTATCGGTTGCAACTGTGAGAAAAAGGAAACTGCGAAAAATTTCAAATTTTTCAAAGAGAAAAAAAAAAGGAGTGGAATGATCAGCTTGAAAAATCAATGCAAACCCCAGCATCTCTATTATTAAAAAAATTAGCATAATGCGCTGATGTCATATTTTTATATTTGTGAAAAGTGTTAGCACGACATTCACAACTGCATCGAACTTTTAAGCAAATCATTGCTAAAGTTTTGTGTTGTTATTTAAACATGATCTTATATTTATCATCTAAACTACTATTCTTTTCATCTAAAACTAATAAATCGTTCAAACATATACAGGCAGAAAAAGAAAAGACGAATATAGTGTATTCATTTGTATGTCAAAAACCAATGTTAATAACATTCTGCTCATCACCATTTTCAATTTATTTCTATTAAGCGAATCTTCTGAAGAATAATAAATTAAATAGTGACATAGACAATATTTATCTGTTTCCCCTTGATTTGACCTTTCTATCTGTTTGTTATTGGACAAATCTTTGGAGTGAAAGTTATCGATGCATATCAGTTGGCATGTCGCATCTTGCATGGCCTATCAGAAGTCAGTATGCACTACCAGCTGTAAAAATTAACTTAGGAGGTTAGCATCCGATGCAGTACGAAAATATGCGAAAATGGCGCAGTTTTTGGTAATTTAGGGTTATAATAGTTCAGTCAAAGTTTCTTCGGAGAAATAAACTTACTTTACAATGGTAATTATTATTAATTGTTTCAAAAAAAGTTTTGTTGCAGCAAATCAAAGTTTCTTATAAACAGCCATATTAACTGTAGAGGGGCGACAACTGAAAACTTATATATACATGAGCTTAAATAGCCCTTGCTATCGATTGTTGGTATCGAGGACGGACATCTGCACACGTTAAATGTTTATAAAAACATGTCGATATGGTCCGGAATGATGTCGCCTTTTTGCAGAGCGATTCTTGCAACTCAGCAACTTCAAACGCTATTTATCATTGTCAGATGAAAATTTAATTTGTGTGAAGATGTCCATCCTCAACACCCAACAATCGATAGCAATGATTATTTAAGCTCTTGAGTTAATTGCTCAGATGTCGCTTCTCGCCGGTGAAATATATTTTAAAATTTTTTTATTTTAGTGACAGAAAAATAAAGTTGATGCAAAGTCGTGGAAAAGTGATTTTGGAAAAACGTCCATAGCTCTCGAATCATGGATTTTCAAGATGTGGTTTAGGTCCAGTTTTGTCCAGGACTCTTCAGACTATGGAAAAAAATCCATCGATTTCTATGTCTGTTTTCAGAGAACACATGGTTTTTCACAGATCTTCTGAAAAAACGGGGCTTTGAAACTTTTTCTAAATTTGTTTTTCTTTATGAAAACATAGCTTCAGATCTTGGCTAGCGAATAATGAAAATCGCGATTCTCTATCTTTTATTTTTTTTGAGTTATTCAAAAAGTAATCACCAGCCTTCTATTTTGCTACCAATAGTAGTGCAGCAAACATCAAAAAAGAAAGAAAAGCGAAGGGAATATTCACATAGTAGAGATTATCAGTCCTGTTCTCGAAGACTATTGACAAAAAAGAGAAAACCAAACTAATTTTCTCAATCTGAAATATGAAAACGTTTGTTTTACTTAGGTCAGCAAATTCGTTTTCGACAAAGCACTGATTTTTCAGACGAAAAGAATTTTTTTTCTCAACCGGCCAGTCAAATAATTTTCTTTCAGCTAGATGATTTTGTGGAGTATTTTTCGGCAAGGCTGGGCGAATCAAGCCAATTTTCGAGTCGAGTAAAGTCCCAGCCATTTCGTAGCGGTTTCGAGTCGAGTCACCAGTATTTCCGAGTCGAGTCAGGTTATTTTTGCAATTTTTTTTCTGTTTATTTTTATAAACAACGTTTACAACAATTTTTTCATGACCCGATATCTAGTTTCTAGTTTTTATGGAATACGAGAAAAATGAAAAATACTAAACGGCTCATTTCCTCTGGGTGCCTCTCATCCTCATTACTCTATCAAAATCCATAAAAGATAAATCGATATCAACGATTTTCAGAGGGTTTTCTGAAGTCTGTTTTTTTGAAAAGTGGTCTCTATTGTTTCTTTTAAGAACGTTTGATAGAAGATAGATGGAGAGCTATATTTTTCGCGATTTTGTCACCAAGAGTGTAGTGAATCTTTTGTAAATACTCTGCACATCTCTGTTTACTTTTGAACTTTATATTGCATTGTGCACTTTTTCCGTGGAATCAGAGAAGTTCACAACATTTCTCGGTTGTCCTGGATTAAGGTCAGAGTGCCCAAATCTCCTAATTTGATCAGGCGACTTCTGATTTCAGGAGCTGATTTTTAAGGTTTTCTCCTAATTTTCTTTGTTTTTTGTTTGTTTTCCTGCATCGGTTTTACCGACATTTTAGACCAATAAAAAAACGGGGAAGAAAAAGAGAACTGCCGTACAATACAGTCATATTGCAGAAATACCACGGACGGTGTAAGAAATAGTTTTTTTCTCCATATTCGCTTTAGTTTTTTTGGTTTTGGGCACCCTGTCCAAGATACATTAGGACTAAATGCTGGGACTGAGTTTAGTCCTAGTTTATGCTCTTTTCTGATATGATTGGTTTGTACTATTTCAGTGAGAAAGTATAACGGCACTGTTTTTATTCTTCAGTCTTAAGGAGGGGGTCCCTGTATTTAAATTTTTCTCTAACGTTCGCAGTTTGTAGAGAATACTTCGAAGTGTATGTTCTAAAGGTTTTTCGCCTTACTGACATTATCTGACTTAATTACTTAAAAAAGTATTAAGTTTTTGAGCACGGGCTATCATTACAAAATTTTCTATCCATTTTCCATTGATCATAAAAACTTAGTTCTTGTCTAGATCGATAGAGAAATGTGTGAAGAATATTTACTACGATAAAATATGTAATAATTTTTGCTCGTTTCTTTCTATTATTGACTAATTAGTGCTAATTAACGTTAATTTAGACTACTCTACTAGTTTACAGTCCCATTTGTAAAATAACAACTCAACAAAAAGATTCAACCAATACCTCATCTGACAGAGAATTTCACGGGCTACAAGACAGGCTACCTTTTATTCTGTTTTTTACCTTTTACTCTTTGTTTCCAAAAAAACATAGCAAGTTACTGAATTCACTACTGTTAACGCACAAAAAAAAAACTATACAAAACTGGTATCCGTAATGAGCCCCTGCACTATTTTCAGAAATATCACGTTCAGCTATCATTGATTTTGAGGTAGGTGTGAAAAAACTTCATGCGCTCATCAAGCTTGATCAATTCTTTAGTGGAGAAAGAAACCAGACCCACACAGCAGCCAAAAATGAATTCTAAAACTTCTAAAGTAGCCTATCTTGTAGCCCGTGAAATTCTCTGTCAGATGAGGTATTGGTTGAATC